TCCTACTCACAGCCCTGGAACTTGGTGATCTTTCCCAGGACCTGGAGAAAGGAAAGGACTACTATCCCTGACTGCTATCACTTATAAACCTCCTCCCCTCCATGACACAGTCCTAGCTTGATATGTAAATATGTATATTAGTAAAGAATCTCTCATCTCTCATTTGCTCTGCAAAACCAACTCAGACTTCACAGTGGGACAAAGCAGGTCACATGATCCTGTCCTGTATGGGTTTATCTATTTCAGCCAGTGTGGGTACTGCTTTTATGCCAGGGAGATTCCACAGGAAACACTGCTCATAGAACAGCGATGAGGACCTTAGAGTAATGGAATGATGGAAATGAGATGAGGACTCAGAGGGTAAAGTTATTACCACTAGGCCTTGTTCTGTGACCTTGATTAAATTACTCAAACTATTTCAGTTTTTCTAGGCCTGAATTTTCCCATGCAAGAATGAAATAAATTCTCTTTTCCATTCCATGTTATTCTGTAAACAACTACTTGCCTTCATCTTCAGCCTTGAAGTTTACCACAAAGATAAATGAAAGACCAAGGAAAGGCTTCTGGAAGAAAAAGTCCATCGAACTCCTACAGTTATAAAGAATGCCCCAGTACTGATGGAAATGCAGTCATTTCTCAGCACTGAGTTAGTAGGAAAATATGAACATGCGTTTTTTAAAATTACATTTAGTTTTGCAAAACAGGGTGGCCCCATTCACAAATATTTTTGGGTGCTCATGTTTGGCTTTTCCTAGCTCCTCTTTGGCTTTTTCTGTCACTTTCAGTGGCACCAAGGAAATGATGAGAATTGCTGAATATATCAGGCTAGAGGTTCAAGGCTCATAAACATTATATATATTCATACTTTTCAAAGTTTAGGTCACTGTAAACTATTAATTCTCTCTTTTTGGGAAACTGCAAAAACAAAACCAAACCCACAGGAGACCACCCCCTGTTTCCCACAGGGCTTTGGAAAGTGCTTGATGGTCTGCTGGAGTTGCTACCCTAAACTCCCAGTCTAGATGGATTCATCTCTATGGTTCCAACAAACATACAAGGGGGAGAAGTTTTCACAAGCTGGCACAAGGTCAGCTTAATAACTCTCTGGGAAAAAGTCCTTAGGCTGCAACAGCAAGTGTGGGTTTGAGGAAGCGTTTCCAGGAGCAACAAAAGAACAAACAAGACTAACCTGAGATCTCAGGAGACACAGAGTTGACATTGAGGCTTTCAGGCAATATAGCAGTATCATCAGAAAGACAAAGGAATGTCCTGGGGATGAATTGTGTGTGCTATAATCACACACACACACACCATCCCCCCACCTGGACAGTCACTTATATATGAATCCTCCAAAACCCACTTAAATATGGAAAGTATATGCAAGATACACTAATTCAACTTCTTGCCTTATAAGCTTTCAGATCAAGACAGTAAAAAGTAAGTACCCTCAAAGATATGGAGGAAAACAAGCTGTGGGCAGGAAGCCTGCTCCCACGGGTTAAGATGGAAGCAACAAGAAAGGTTTCTTTGCTCAGTGAACTACCACCTAGGGGGTAAACCCTGCCACAGCCTGGTTCTGCACAGCTTTATTGGAACATTGCCATGCCCATTCATTTACATGTTGTCAACTTGCTCTCTCTCTAGCAGGGAGAGCAGCCTAATGGCCTGAAAAGCCAGAAATATTTATTACATGGCACTTTAGGGAAAATGTTTGCTGACTCCCTGCATCAAGGGGTCATAAAAGGAAAGTGAGGCATGCATAGGAATTGGGGGAAATGGCCAGAATAAGGAAGGAGGCAGCAACAGGCTTAAAGCAGGGAGCAAGGGTCAGGGTCATCAGCAGTATTACTTCTCTGAGGGGGAGGGTGCTCCTTCCCAGGATAAAGGAAGTTCAAGGCTGGGCTTCTACCCTTGAGGTTCACAAGTAAGTAAAAGAGAGCATATTATTTTACGTATATCTGAGGGAAAGAGAGGGAGGAGGGAGTCAGTAACTAGGTGTTTACACAGGGAGTTCAGGTTATCTGAGATGGCTTTCTGGAAAGCATAGGATCTGCTAGGAAGGCTTAAACAAAGAAAGGACAAGGGTGTGGCAAGGTCAGGCTAACCCATTTTTCTATGCCTTGAGTTTCTCCAAGTTTTCCCCACCCCTTTTTTCAATTGTGACAAAATATATATGACATAAAGTTTGCCTTTTTAATCACGTTTCAATATATAGTTCAGTGACAATAAGGACATTCATATTGCTATAAAAACACGTTGAAGTAAGTCCTTTCAATTGGAAATGAAAGCAGAAGCTGTTTAGGGAAAAACAAAGGTAAGAAGAGTACAATGGTTAGGACATTGGACATCGTCATAACACCCCCTTTTTTAATGACAGGAGGTGGAAGGGCGGGATAGGAGATAAGAGTGGACTTATACACCTGTTGAGGTGTTGTATTTTTGGTCACCAGAAAAATAGCACCTTTTGGTGCCCTTCCACCATGCTTTTAGAGACTATCAGGAGTCAGTCCACCTGTTTCTCTGGATCAAGGGAGGATTATTTGTTCAATTCTACCAGCCTCAGGAATGCAGTGGTGCTCTCAACACCCCTTTGGTTTGTCTAAGATGAGATCTTCTGGTCTTCAGTAGGTGAAAGTCAGGTGCCATAGTGCCCCCTACTGATCAGCACCCACAGGAAAAAAAAATGCCTCATTTCTGCTTTCACATTTTCTGATCAGAATTCTCCAGAGAGTTAGGGAAATTCTTAAGCCACCTTGATGGGGTTTACTGATTGATTTAAAAAACAAATATTTTCACTTATTGCATACATTTTTTTTAATGCATACAAGAACTGGGGTGTAGACCAAAGTGCAGGAGGTGAGAGGAGAGGATTCACTAGAAACAGAGTGGGAAGCAGAACAGGCAGATCTACTGAAACACATTTCTGAGGGGAACAATGGGCAAGCAGCGAGCAAGGTAGGAGAGATCTGCTGTGCCAGGTGGGTCAGCTTCCTGGTTGGCGATCGAACTTATACTGCAGTGGCTGGTGATAAGTTGATAGTGCTTCAACTTTAATCCCTGCACCACCACGGAGGCCCCTACTGATAGATTTTACTGAGATTCAGAACCCTGCTTTCTACTTCCCAATTCCTGGGGAAGGGAAGAGGATGGATATCAAAGTATACAACTAACTCTACCAAGAAAATTAGTCTGTCTGAGTTGGTCTTTTGTTTTTTCCTTTCTGTACAATCTTACTGTTCTGTATTTTTAAAAGGAGATACAAAGACAAGCCTTTGAAGGAATGTTTCTCAAAGCCAGGAAAGGAGAATGGGCCTCCCTAGTAGTGCAAGGGAGTTAAATGTCAAGCTATCTCAAGCTATTTGCAGCATGAGTTCAGGTCCTGTCAGGAAGCTGACCCACATGGTGCAGACCTGTCTTGCCCACTGCTCCCCTCAGCAGTGTATTTCAGTACATCTGCCTGCTCTGTTCCCCAGTCTGTCTCTGGTGAATCTTCTCACCCCCCACATTTCTGGCCTATGTCCCCAATTTTTTTTTTTTTTTAAGATTTCTTTACTTATGCACACAGAACTGGAGTACAAGCCAGAAGAGCAGGGGTGATAAGAGGATTTACCAGAGACAGTGGGGAGCAGAATAGGCAGATCAACAAAGTACACTGCTGAGGGGAGCAGCGGGCGGGCCAGGAAAGGTCTGCAATGCCATGTGGGTCACCTCTGGGGCGGGGATCAAACTCATGCTGAAGTGGCTTTAGCTTTTCAGTGCTGTGCTTTTAACCCCTTGTGCCACCAGGGAGGGCCCTGCCCCAATTCTTTTATGCATAAATAAATAAATCTTAAAAAAAAAAAACAAAACAGGAAGCGAGAGCAGCACCTCGCTTTCCTACCAATACTTTCAGGGGCTAGGAAAATTAACTCTAAGTTCTATTTCACAACCACACCAGAGGGGAGGATTATTAGTATTACTTATGGGGAAAATAATAAAATTCTCATCTATTTACTATTTGTGTTTCTAAAAATCCCACATGGCTCTGCCTGTTGGTGTAGTTTCTAACTCATAAATAGCTCCACGGGGGTATCTGGAGCATAAGAGGCTGTGAAATTAATGAAAGTTGTTAATACATAATGGAAACTTATTTCTATGCTACAGTTTTCCAGGCTGCTGTTGCATGAAGGATCTGGTAACAATGGTCTATAACAGAGGATTTCTTCCTGATAAAGTAGGGCCATAAGACATGCTCCTCACCTATCAAAGGAATTGTAAGCAATAATTAATTACCAAATCCAGAATCATTCAAAGTTTGGTGGGAATGCAGGTTGGTAAGTAACCTACTTACTCAAATGCTAACAGGAGAAACGACTAGTATTCTAAATAGAACATTTAAGTTCACAATTGATGCCGAACAGAATGAGAACTTTGCCAACCTGTCTCTTAAACTCCCATCATCCCTTTTATTTCCTTTCAGGAGACTTGAGAGAACCTACCTGAGCCATCTTTGAAAGGAGACTGCAGGTGGTGGCGGGGACTTGAACATGAGACCCAGAAAGTCAAGAGTTTTCTTAGCACCTAGTTTTGCAGCTGATTTGGGGCGGCTGGCGATAAGGGCAGGAGAGGTTTGTAGGGTGTTTTACATTGTGGAGAGGATACAGTGCGTCTAGCCGCTGAGTCGCGATTCAGTACTGGGGTGGGGCGCCAACTCTGGGGGTGTAAAGGCAGCTGAGTTCTGCCCTTGGTTGTAGGCCAACCATTGTGGGCAGCGTACTTGGCAGGAGCTGCTGGGCTACCACGTGCCTTCCGGTTGCCATGGTAGCTCTCGTTCCCAACCCCGCCCCCCTTTACTGGCCCAAGGGAAATGCCGTGAGCGGGGGCTCCGGGTGACTGGCAGGTGCTGCCCCTCGCTCCCGCCGTGGGTTTCCCTCCGGTGGATTGCGTTCCCGCCTGCCCGGGAGAGCTCGCTCCGCTTGGCGTCACATCCGGGCGAGTGGGCGGCTGAGTTCCGGTATTTCAGGGCGTAGTAGGCGGAAGTAGGGGAGAAGCGGCTGCTACGCGGAGCGGAGGAGGCAGGCACCCGAGTGCTAGCAGGAGCTGGGTGGGAACCATGGCCGGGATCACCACCATCGAGGCGGTGAAACGCAAGATCCAGGTTCTGCAGCAGCAGGCTGACGATGCAGAGGAGAGGGCCGAGCGCCTCCAGCGGGAGGTGGAGGGAGAAAGGCGGGCTCGGGAACAGGTACGGAGCGAGCGAGGCGTGTGAGGGAGAGGCAGGCGCTGGAGCAGATGGGACTCCGATCTGAGTCCCCCACCTTTTTTTTTTTTTCCTTGCGGTAGAGCACAGTCCTCTAGGACCCGCATCTCAGAGATTAAGTTGGAAACTAGAGCATGCGTGGGATTTAGTTTCCGTAGGACTTGCAGCCGGCGAGGGGGAAACTGAGTGATAGGGCGATCTGAGCAACTAGGTGGGCGGGCGAGCAGGTTTGACCTTTGAAGGAATTGAGCCTGACGGGCCCTGGGTGTGGTTTTCCTTCTCTTTTCTCCCAGCTCATTCATTCAGTCCCTCTGAGCCGGGCGCGGCCGGAGGAGGGGCTCAGCGGCCTCCCTTTCCCCCCTCCCCCCTGAAAGGGGGAGGGGGGCTTTGCTCCAGTTTGAGGTTTCCGGTCCTAAAGTGAGAGTAGGTGGGTGCTTCTCTGGTCTGGGAAGTGCAGGGCCGAACTACGGTGAAAGGGTGGGGTTTGGGGGCGGTGGGAACCGCCGGAAAGCCCCCGGCTGGCCTGCTGGCAGCTTTTCCGCTCGCTCCTCCTGCTCAGGAAATGAGGCAGCAGTAGACTGAGAGGAAGCGCGGTGCCCTCCCTGGAGGGGGTTGAGGCCACAGCAACCCCTCCCATCCTCCGGCCTGGGGCCCTTTCCTCTTACCCAGAGCCTGTGCTACTGCTAAACCTGCTCACTCAATCTGCGAGCAGCAGCCTGGGAGGAGATTGTACTTCACTTCCTATGTTAGTGCAAATATAGGAGCCAACACAACTTACCTGACCCTATGATGATCTCGAACATCTGCCAGATTCACACCTTATTACTGAAGAATGGTCAGTGCAAATCGAACCTGTCGTCAACCCCTCCTCTAGTGGAACCGATGGTGGAGTGGTTGTGGTTGACGAAGGCGTCTTGGTGGTTGATAGAGACAGTAATATCCCAGGAGAGCACTAGTGATGTTTGTTACTCTGCTACTTTCACAGTTATCCACCACACCACAGTGTCTTTTTTTTCTTTTAAGTTCAATAAATATTTTTGCAGCTGAAAGTTGGAACATCAAATGATGATGAAATGAATGGTGATTCTGGGCGCCACTTACTGCTTAGAAGTGGTGGACTAGTTTTAGTAAGCCCTAAGATTTTCCGAGTCAAGGGTGCAGTCTAGTGGGTGGAGCTGATATCCTGAGTTGAGGCTTTGGTTTTGGAGGGTCTTGAGGCTGGAGAGGAAAGTAACTGTAGCTAAAATTTTAAGAGCTAATGAAAAAACTCTTGTGGTTTATTGGTATTCCTTGTTCTTCCCCTTGGAATTTTTTCCCTTCATGCTGACTGCTCCTCAGTGGAGTGGCTATGAATGAATTTTGGGGGGAGGGGAGGGACGGAAGGGGCAGCAGCTCTCCAGGTTAATACTTAGATTGCTAGGATTTTTATAATTGAGCATGGCAATGCTGGGAGTTTCCTTCCTAAGTCATCTTTCTCTGGGTTTTTTCCTTTGTTCACTATGTCACTAACTTTTAATTTTCAATTTAAGTAAGGTAGACCCGCTGGGTGATTCTTTATTATGACTAGTGACACTTTCTCATTTCCTTTGTTCTGGAGACAAGATCCCCTTAGAGGGGAAGACGGTGGGTGAAGGATTTAATAACCTTATGTTAAACTGCAGAATTTTAGGCTCAACATTTAAATGATGGCATCTTAGGGGTAGTTCTAGGGTAAATGATAACCCATTATCCATCTCCATTCCCTGTCCAAATCCCTCAGGATCTGGTAATTTTCCTGGTGAAAAAATTAGGCTCTTTCCCCTCCACCCCCATTTAATGATTCTGCAGTGATAGATAGCAGTGTGAATAAATTTAAGATGTTTAAGCTGCTTGCTCACTCACTCAGCTCCTACCAGATGTGCTTACTGAACTGAGGTCTAGTAAGGAAATGCTCAGGGGGAAGTAGGGTGATAGTTAAATATTGATGAAACCACTATCTTTCACTTCTAAGCTTGAGAAAGCTTGATCTTTTGACTTGCTGTTCTGATGAACTTTGAACCCATCTACCAGAGAGGATGCCGTGGGAAAGGAGGAGGGGGTGATTAAGCTACCTTCTATCCTCTTAAGGCTTTTAGGAATGTGAGTTTTGCAGGCACCTCCCTCCAGAGCCGGAAGCTCAGCACTCCCTGATGGTATCTCTCTGTTAGTGGGGTTTATCACTTCATTATTTTTCTGGTTGCTTTGTGTGAATATCCATCCCTTATTGTGAACCTGAATGAGTCCGAAGCTTGAAATTCTGGGTTGTTCTGGGGCCCCTTTATTTTTCTCCTTTTAGCCTTTTGCAGTATTGTAGCACCTTGTCGAAACTACTTTCCATTTTGAATCCCTTTGCAGCTCTGGCTAGACTAAATGCAGTCTTTCTCAGTTTTTGTTGATGGTGGTGGTAAAAATATATAAAACATAAAGTCTTTCATTTTGATCATTACCGTTCACCTAATCTATTTTTAGGGAGTAGACTTTGAGCTGCCCTTTGATTCTGGCATATTCCCAAAATCCTAGTCTCTGGAGGCTATTAAAAATGTCTGACTAGTGTGTGACATGCTCCTATTTTTTGGGCGGGGGGTTCCATTTTTCAAGAAAGATCTCACTGATCTTCTGATATAACCCTTTCTTTGGTTTAGACTTGCTTTCTGGTTGACTACCTTTCTCTTCCCCTCATCCACCCACAGGGGAGAGGCACATAGCCCTTTGCTCTGAGTGCCTCCTTTGGGCTCCACCTTTGTTTACTCTGGGGCTGATATTTCTACTCCCTTCCTTCCAACTTGCCTCTCCCCTTCTGAAAATTTAAAGTCCCCAAGGACACAAGTATCTCTGAGTAGATACATTTGTGAACACAGTGACTGGGGAAGTCCTTTACTAGCAGGGTTCAAGATGAACTTTTCTATTACTCCTTTCCTTTGAGTTTCATCTGTGGCTTTTGTCTAAAAGAGAAACTCAGAGTGGCAGAATGCCAGGTTTAGACTAATACCCTTCTGTCTTTGTCCCTGAACTGTCTCTGTCTGAGCACCGGTTCCCTATCAGTTTCTTGGCTTAAGTGGTATGGTGTGTTTGTAGGGAACATCCCTTGGTGTGGAGGGTGGTAGCTTTTAAACCACACTCATTTCCTAGCTGAAGCAGTTGTCGGCCATCTTCTAATGTGATGGAATTGCTTCTGTGTTCCCTTCCTCCTGCCTTGGGCATCTTTGCTTCCTGGTCAGTGCAGGAAGGACCTCAGAGAGTGGCCTTCAAAGCTGATCAGAGGTGGGTAGGCTGAAAGATCAAAACCACATGCCAAACCTCAGATGACTAGAAAAACATAAAGCATAATGTTTCCCAGGACCGATTTTTTTTCTTTCTCTGGTTTGCAGAAGTAAGTCCCACTCTAACTCTTGGTATGATTTGATTAACCCAAAGCCCAGGCATTGTGCATAGGTTCTGGCTAGAGGCAAAGTCAGGTGTCTTCCTTTATTCCTTTAAGCCAGTAGTAACAGATCTTGATTCTGCAGACTGTTGTTTCATTGTAAAGAGAACTAATCCTCTGTGGGAGGAGAAAAAAGAGAACAGCAACTGACCTCCTCCCCACCCCCAGCCTCACCCCATCTCTGAAGCTTTTCTTGGTACTCCCATCTTTGGGTTCTGCTTTTGGTACAGGCTTGCTGGCTGTGCACATGCCCGAGTGAGGGCATGAAGATGCGTGTTTTCCCGTTTCAGTCTTGCAGAGAATTCTATTATAAATGCCGATTTGTGGAAGAAACTGCCTGAGCCAGCTTGTTGTCATGGAAACTGTACACCCCCACCCCCCATAGCTTGTTATCTTCTACTTCATTTGGGTAACTACTGGTGAGCTGGATGGGGACTTAGATTTCATGAGCTTCCTCCAATCTGGTTCCATTTTTTCTTTTTTAAAGTTCTAGGCATCTGGGGTGTAAATCTTTGTACCGGCAGTGTGTCACAGTTCTTGTGTAAAAGGCTAACTTGTTCTCATAATCTTGACCCGTTAGCCATTTTGAGCTGGAGGCAAAATGCATATTGTCCTATGAACATCTGCTTTTCCAGAAAGGACAGAATCAGAAAATACTTGTCTTTACAGTGTAGTTAGAGACTGAAATGGTTTCTTAATAATTTCAGCTCATGGTAGACTCATCGATTTTCTTTTCCGGTGGGTTAGTACATGCATGGCTATAGTCCTTGAACCTTCCTTGTTTGTATGTGGCAGTTTTGTGCCAGTAACCTGATTTCTTAATAGGAACCTTTTGGGCTATATCCCTCCCTGTAGGGGCTGGTGGCCCAGATTATTTCTATAGCTGCCCCCACCGTTGACTGCCAGGAGGAAATCAGGGTAATAGAATTCAGGTACGATCTGAATCTGGGCTGGAGAAGAAAGATCATGTTTACCAAGCACTTGGATAAGCATCTGAACTGGGTGGTGTGCATGGCAGATTAAATTCTTGTATGCTTGTGGCAGTCAGTGGACCTGCCACCAGTAAAGGTGTGGGGAAGTCAGGCTTTGCTGCCATATTAACTCACCCATTTGTAGGCTGTCTCTTTCTTGTTTTCTATTCCATTGACAATTACTGGTACTGTAGCCTATGCTCATTGTGTGACGGAGGCCAGGGAGAGGACTGTCATAAGCTGTCCTGGAGGGTGTAGTTAAGAGGGTGGCTAGAGGAATAGAAAGGGGTCAAATCAGAAAGTTGGAGGGATGGTGGAAGGCATGAAAGAAACATGCTCTTGTGATCCTTGGATTTTTGTAATGTCATCAAAGTAGATAATTTTAGCTAGAAACTCCTTATTATCAACTTTTAAAAAGGTAGGGATGGGGATCAGTTGAAGGGATGGGGAGGGGGGTAGGTATCCCAGTGCTCTGTTCTTTTTTTCTGGTTTGGAAAATATGATTCCCTTGGCTAGTCTTTATGGATTAGGAGATGGTGATCAGAGGGTTGTCAGTTTGAATCAAACAACAAAGTAATATTCTCTTCTTTGAGGAACCTTGCCTATTTTTCCATTTTATGAGCCATTTATAAGAAGGTTGCTAAAGGTTGCAACACCATTATGTTAAAATTCAAGCAGAAGGAACCTTTCACTGGCTACCTTTTTTGATATCAGTGTGTTCAGGAATTTGAACTGAGTCCAGAATGTGGGTGGTACTAACTGACATTGGACTGGGCAAGGAACTGAGTTTTAAAACACTCTTCCTGTGGAACATATGGGAGTTCGTTGATGGGAAAGGGAGGAGATATATATAGACACAAATATAAATATAAGTTGTCTGTTAGATCTGAGTTGCATCTGAGCTAAGACAGGTTCTTCTTTGCTAGACGTTGGCTTCCTCATAATCATAAAACCTTCTTTTAGTCAGCCCCAATGTTGGCATTCTCTTCACCATGCCTCTACTTTTTTCCATTCTTTCATTCAAATGCAGGCTGAAGCCGAGGTGGCCTCTTTGAACCGTAGGATCCAGCTGGTTGAAGAGGAGCTGGACCGTGCTCAGGAGCGCCTGGCCACTGCCCTGCAAAAGCTGGAGGAAGCCGAAAAAGCTGCTGATGAGAGTGAGAGGTGATGGAGTGTGGATTTTGGAAGTTCATAATGGTTCTGACCCACATTTCCTTATGTAGATTTCTTTGTTGTTATTGTTTTTGAACAGTAGCTTATAGGTTCTTCTCTTCTGCTCTATGTATTCTTTCCACTTGAAGACAGACAGCATCAGGGTAACCTGGCCCCATGACCCTTTTGTAATTGGTGTTTCTCTATAAAGAGACCTATTAATCTTTAAATGGGATCATATATGGTATGGCCTCCACTTAAGGGTTCATAAGCTATTTTGTGAGATTAGTCCCTCTGAAGTAATGATTCTCAAAGTAACATCTCAGTCCATTAGGACCTGGGAACATGGTAGAAATTCAGATTCTCAGTTCTTACCCTGATCTGTGAGTCAGAAACTCTGGAGGTAGGGCTCAACTGTTAACTGTTTTTATAAGCTCTTTCAACCCTGGCTGCACTATCAGAATCATAGAAGTGATACATAGGGTCTCTGGGAATTTTAAAAATATCAGAATGCTTGGACCCCACCCCATTTCAAATAGAATCCATCGTAGAGGATCTTGGGTAATTATCCTCTGATGGTTGAGTGCTGTGGTCCATGAACCAAATTACAACTCATCTTTGAAAAGAGCTGATTGGTTCGCTATCACATGTGAGTTAAACTAGAGCAAAGGTGTGGGATGCCATGCATGAAATCAAATGAAGACTTTTCAGAATTAAAAATGCCCTGCTGAAAGTATGTGTAGCCGTAGAGATGACTAAGCCAGCTAGTGAGGCGAACTAGTTGCAGAACGATGTATTATAATGGTGCAGAAAGATGTATTATAATGGTCCCATGGGACGAGTATATTTGCATTTTACCTTTATAAAACATTTCTGGAAGGATTATGAAGTCAGAAAAATCTCAAGTAGGAAGACTTTAATTTCTGCCTGTAGACTGTACACTTAGTAAGTGTGTATTAATTTTTCTGAGAAAAAATTTTTTTCAGGTCATTATTTATGCATAGAGAGCTGGGGTACAGGCCAGAGGTGCAGGGGCAGTGAGAGGATTCACCAGAGACAGAGTGGGGAGCAGAACAGGCCGATCAACGAAGCACACTGCTGAGGGAGCAGTGGGTGGGTCAGGAGAGGTCTGCTGCACCATGTGCATCACCTCCCTGTCCTGGAATTGAACTCATGTTGCAGTGGCTTTGGAAAGCTTCATAGTGATGGCTTTAACCTGTTGCGCCACCAGAGAGGGCCAAAAAAAATCTTACTATTTTTTTGGAAAGAAATTTAAATCAAATAAGGAGATGGTGTTAGGGGATTTTATTTTTTTATTTAGACTGGAAGCAGAGAGGAGTGGATTTAAAACCCATAATTTTGAGTCCCTTTGAATGGACCTGTGACAAACCAGGGTGTCGGGGTCTATATATTTGTCCTTGTTTCTAACAGAGGTATGAAGGTTATTGAAAACCGAGCCTTAAAAGATGAAGAAAAGATGGAACTTCAGGAAATCCAACTCAAAGAAGCGAAGCACATTGCAGAAGAGGCAGATAGGAAGTACGAAGAAGTAAGGCACCTTGTATCCATCCCTCTTTGGTGATATCAGACTTCTGAAAAGACTCAGGAGTGGGAATGACTCCTCCTTTGCCTCACTGAGCTATACCTGGGTCTTCTGTAGGTGGCTCGTAAGTTGGTGATTATTGAGGGGGACTTGGAACGCACAGAAGAACGAGCTGAACTGGCAGAGTCGTGAGTATCTTGCTCCCAACTCTTTTGTCATACCATGTTGTCCCTTCCCCATTGGCTTGGGCACTAATGTGAATAAACTAGCAAATTGCTTCAACTTTGTTACACAGGGCCTAGAGAGTGGGAGTCATCTGTTATACTTTTCTAAGGGATTAAGAATGGTTTTGGACTTTTTTTTTAATGATCTGGACTGGTGACAGGGACACCTGAGGCTTCCTTATTTCTTGTTTGGGAGGGTTTACAGTTGAGGGGAAGCAGAGATTAATTGATGGTGGTCAGTTACCTGGACAGCCCTGTGGCATCCTTCCACCTGGGTTTGTGGCTTCTTGAAGCACTCAAGTGGCTGTACTGACTTAAGATCTGTCTCTTCTTAACTTCTAATTTCCTGGGATATTAGGGTGAGGGTAGACATGAGCTGCTCCCCTGTCGGCACCTTCTGGGCCTTGTATAACAAAGTCAGTGCTGATGCATATTTATTTGTACTCCCCTGTGTTCCCTTTTCCCAGACATGACATATCATGATCATGGTGGAGTTTTCTTCCCATTTTTTGGAATTTTCTTTTCCCATTTTGCTGCTTGTTTTCTTGCTGTGTTCCTTTTTGACCTTTCTCCCTCCCCACAACCTGGCTTGTGCCATCCCCGTGACTATCACTAACAGCCGTTGCCGAGAGATGGATGAGCAGATCAGACTGATGGACCAGAACCTGAAGTGTCTGAGTGCTGCTGAAGAAAAGGTACTAACCGTTGAGCCACAGAGAGGTTATATGTATGGTGTGGTTTGGTTGGTTTTTGTTTTGCAGCTGCCTCCCCTCCACTGGTTGATGTGTTGAGTGCTTTCTCATCTCCTCATGGAATGCTCCATTTCTTTTTCATTTACTTGGCATCTTTCATCTCTTCTTTTCTAGTTGCCTCACTGCTTCTCCACAGGCTCTCCTCCCCTTGGGTGATTTGGGGGACTATTTGGGTTGGGCATCCGTTCCCACTTCCACTCCAGGTAGCAGTTATAGCTTGTTCCTGGTAGTGATTTCTCTCAAGCATTTTCTTGGTGCTATCAAACATGCTTAGTCCTAGCCCAGGAGGGCCCAACTCCTGACATGTCCTGTGGTAGCGGGAGGAGGGTTGATGCTTGCTCAGATGACCTGGGAACTTCTCTTTTTCCCCAGTATACCTTCCAACTCTTTCTACATATAGGTTCAATTCATGTCTGTGTGTCTTTCTCCCTTTTTTTTTTTATTCTCCTCTTCTTCCCCTTTCCTCTTCTGCGGTATTTAAAATATTCACAGTAAGTGTTCTGAGCTGGAGGAGGAGCTGAAGAATGTCACCAACAACCTCAAGTCTCTTGAGGCTCAGGCGGAGAAGGTAGGGGGCTGGTTAGCGAAAGTGACAGGCTTTGGGGCCTGGGGCCAGCTTTGCCCCTGATGAGAGACTGGAGGCACCCATTTTTTACATAATCTATTGAGACCGGCCACTTCCTACCCATCTACACCCTGTCCACATTCTGGGGTTAATGCTAATTCCTGTGCACTTTGATTGCTTTAGTTAAAATAATTTCATGGTCTCAGACGCCTCTTCAGGCTGACAATGTGTACTGTGCAACAGTAATCATGGGGCCTTTTGGGTTTTCTAGCAGACTGATGGGGGTGACAGATAGTGTCAACTCTGAGACCTAATGGGCAATCAAGATAGTTTCTCTCTTGATCACTCTATGGGACTGTTTTGTCCATGACACCTCGGGGTGCCACCACACCTATGCATTAAACTGGAAAAAGGAACAAAACCTCCCTTTGTTGAACTGAATCAGTCTAAAACATAGGTCCATTTTAAAAATTAGAAGTCCTGGAGGGTTCTAATCCGAGGGTTTTGCGGCTCTAAGGACATTGCTTTGTGGATTTGATTGATCTTTTGTCTAGAAATGGGCCTTGTTTTTTCCTCAAGGACTATTCAGCACATTAAATTCAAGAGAATATTCATTGTAATATAGGGAGGCGGGGGGACTGTGTGTATGGGTAGTTTCTATTCTGAAATTTTTATTCTACCTCTCTTACAGTACTCTCAAAAAGAAGACAAATACGAGGAAGAGATAAAGATTCTTACTGATAAACTCAAGGAGGTACGCTGAGGGATTACAGGGACACAAAACATCCAGAGTTAGATATCAGGGACTAATAAGAATTGAGTTGGCCTCGCTTTGACTCTGAAAGATGTAGAATTGGAAGGTAGAAGAAACTACATATTTCTCTGCTGGTTTTGTTCATCCTTGAGGCTAACTGATTGCATCTCTCTCCCAGGCAGAGACCCGAGCTGAGTTTGCTGAGAGATCGGTAGCTAAGCTGGAAAAGACAATTGATGATTTGGAAGGTATGGATCCTGGGGTGGGGGTTTAAATAATGAATATAGAGGAAGTCATTGCCTTTGGATGCTGACCTCGTTCCCTGTATACGAAAGGGGTTCGGAAGTGACTTGGCATGCAGCTCATGCCCTGTCCTGTACCATAGCTATGTGAAATGGGTTAAACTCTAAAATTGGATTTATTTTATGTTTGATTTTTTTTTTTCCTTTTAATAAGGCTTTGCCTAATGTTCTGGAACTTGCACCCCTCGAGGATACTGAATGGTTACATTTACCTCTAGTTTAGTAGTCTTAAGCTTAGTCTCCATACTATCAGAAGGTGACAAGAACACACCATCAACCCATGGCTACTTTTGGCAATCCTGTTTACCATTCCTTTTGTGGAGCCCCTCTCAAGAGATGCAGCTGTAGGTCTTAGAGTTACCCAATTCGTGCTTTCTAAATACTTCCTGCCACCACACGTTGGCAATTGCTTTCATCCTAAAAAGGGAAAGTGTATTTGCTGTGATAACTCCGAGATGTGCTCCCTTGGTATTCTCTGGGAGAAAGAAATTCTTAATTTGGGAGAGCTTGGGAGGCGACTTGAAGAGCAAAGAGGTCAAGATCCTGGTTGTGCTTGCTAGGTAGAAAAGAAGTGCTTGAATATTAATGTGCACTTTCTCCTTTTTCTATTTTTATAAATGAAGTGTTGTCACTGCAGGGAATTGGGTTAACTGGGTGGAAGTTGTATCTTGAATTCCTTGATACTAGGAATTTCTGTCTAGATTCTTAACCCTTGCTACAGTCAATTAGCGGTATCAAGAAGTTCAGTTGATTGTAGGAAGCAGTGGACCTGAAAATGGCCAGGCATGGCTGCCAGTATAGAAGTTCTCCTACTGGTTATTAAACCCATGATCACACTTTTCTTAATTTCTAATGATCCCTCTCTTCATCTGCTTCTGATACCTTTGACTCTACCCCCTCGTTCCTCCCTGTGGTTCCTGTTCCTGTCCAGATGAGCTCTATGCCCAGAAACTGAAGTACAAGGCCATTAGCGAGGAACTGGACCACGCCCTCAATGACATGACCTCTATGTAACTATCTGACAGCAGAGCTGGGCTGGGCCTTGGTTTGTGGGTGGCTGGGGGTACAGGCTGTGCATAGTGTGCTTTGGTTTTGTCCTCTGGAAACTAGACTCTCTGCCCTTATCTTTAAAGCATTGGTGCTAGTTACTTGTTGGCAAAAGCTAAGTTTTAACACTTTTATTCACAGCCCCTTCATTACGACACCATAATTTTTCATTTTTTCCTCAAATTGAGTCTCAGAAGGGACAGTGCTGAAAATAGAACCATGTTCTGTAGCTAAGGAAATAAGGCCCAAAGAGCCAGTGACTTGGGCCTAACTGATAACAAAACTCAGACATACTGAGTGTGATTTGTGCCCAACAGAAGTTCAGGAGAAACACCCATGATTGGAAATACCAAATTCACCTTAAATTGAGATGAGTTCCAGAGCAAGCCAGGTTGTAAAAAGCACCAAAGAGTTGTCGGGGACTTTATCTGTTTGCTGTGGATCCCTGATCCTTGAAGCTAATCTGCCGTTCTTTTTTTCCCACTAACCCTGAAAAGAAGCCAAATGACTCAAGCTGCAGTATCTGGCTCTCTTTTATCATTTCTGCTGCCACTCTTCCCTTTTTCTCTTCCCTGTCTCCTCCCCAAATACTGTCTAGATTGATGCTAGTTCTTCTCACCTAGCGTCTTCTTACTTTTTCATATAGATAACTGTCACCGTTTCGGCTCTGTTCTGGATCAGCCCCCTTTTCTAGGGGAACCCAACGTCCCACTTGCTCTGGATTCCATTTGGGTCGACTTGGCTGGTCCCCAAGACATTACGAAGGTGGGGGGGGGACACAAAGCAACTTATGTATTCTCTCCCACCCCCACTCCCCCAATTTAAATTAGCTGCTGGAGCCTCATGCCACCCTGCATTTGTGTCATTGACAAAGCTGCTGCTGTTGCTAAGAAGGAGCCTTGGGGGTGTGATATAGCTATGGTAGGCTTTCCTCTGGTTTATATAATCAAAGCCACTTTTGTGTGTGTGTATTTTTTCTTGACATTTAAACTATCTGAGTCCATTAATGTGGACTAGGGGGGTAGCAGCTCTATCTTACCATTCACGCTGAACAAGATCATCTAAGTCCTTTACTGCCAGGTTCTTAAACCATCTTAGCTGGAATGTTTTCATCTTTTACCAGACACCCTTCCTTTGATACAGCGTGGTTGAGGGACCAGTGAAGTGCCCCTCAATACATATTTTCTACCCTCTTACCAGTAGTATAAGTGGAACAACTGGTAGACCCACTAAAATCAACTAATTATATCATCCCAATCACAGAAAACTATTCAATAGTTGTGTTTTCTTACATATTTGAGAGTTACTACTATTTCATTTTCCTGCTGTTACTTGCTAGTGGACAAGTGATAAATGATGATGGGAAAGCTGAAACAACCAGATATACATATTTGAAATAATATGTTTAAAGGGGTAATAATTTATTACATACATGAATGTGGTAAATTACTGGTAAAATTGTCTCTGGCTTGTGTTATAGGCTTAAGTATCAATGTTTTGGAAAGTACTATTATAGTTTACACAGCAGACAGGGTTCAGACTACATAGTGTGGCTCTCAGTTGTACTTATCTACGCATCTGTGTGTTGCAGTACTTTTCAGTCCATACTATCTCTTCCTGACATACAGTCTTTGAGATTAAGATTAGGCATCATTTATTTAACAGACACTTGTTGGTGTCTTGTAAGCACAGGGTAATTAGGTAGGGACAGAAATAAAAATGGAGACACCATACTCTGGGGTTGCTCTAAATTAGTAGAAGAGAAGCATATGTAGAAGCTAAAGATGACGTGTGGTAAAATGTCACAAATAATAAAGTATGGGATTTCCGAGTGGGGAGGATACTGATTCCACCAGGGATGATTGAGTCTCATGGCAGGACGCACATAATAGGTGCTTAATAAACATGTTAAAGCTTGCCTCTTCGTTTTTACTGTGTTCCAAAAGATTGAATTCTCAACAGAGTTCTCTTGAGAAGTAGTGGATATTAAACATTTCAGTCAAAGACAAATGAAAAACCAACAGCAGAGATAGGGGTGGGAAGTGTGCGATACAGGTGGTTTTAGAATAGAGTAGGTGTTGTGGGTGATGAGATGCCACTGGAGATTTTGGATAAGGATTTGTTCTGGTTTGAGTAGCATATAAGAAGAGCTTATTTGGCAGCTAAGTTAAGAATACATTGGAACAGGGACATATTGTCCAAGCGATACATTAAGATGATGATTAGTCCAAATTTCAGTCATTGGCATACCACTTGTTATAGTTTTTGTCCATATTTACATTCTGCCTGCACCATTCTTTACACATTCATTTTATTCTTTACCAATTCTAATCTGAAAGCAAAGATTTGCAGTGTTTTATTCTGTAGCACATTAAAATACAGTTAATAAAAAGTTTTAAAGTTCACAAATACATGTTGTCTGAAGTAACATAGCACTGGCAGTGACTATACCATGTCTTTAAAATACTGGATTAGGCTAGTTCATTATCCCAGAAAATAGTAATCTGAACTAGAGTACTAGCAGTGCTTGCAAAAATGGGCATTTTTGAAGGGACTGGCCACTAAGTGTGAGGAGGAAAAGTCAAGGATGACTACTTGTGAAGAAATCAAAATGATAGTGTTAAAGATGTGGAGAAGTCATGGTTTTTTGGTTTGAGGGGGACAGAGGAAGGCAGAGAAGAACAGAGAAGTCTCTAACAGCTGGCAGGCATCCAAGTGAAAAAGGGGAGAAAAGGGATAAAAGATGAATTTGGGAATCCATAAGGGTGATGGGTAGTTTAGGCAGTGGAAGGGAATTAGAACCCTGAAAGACAAATGCAAATATAAAAAGAAAAAGAGGAAATCTGTAGAGGATGAACCCATATGGCAAATGAACTGATTGGTGGTATAGGAGGAGGAAGAGTAGCTTCAGTAATTGTTTTTTTTTTTTAAAGATTTATTTATTTATGCATACAGAACTGGGATACAGGCCAGAGGTGCAGGAGTGATAAGAGGATTCACCAGAGACAGAGTGGGAATAGAACAGGCAGATCAAGGAAGTACACAGCTGAGGGGAGCAGCGTGTCAGCCAGGAAAGGACTGCCGACCCGTGTGGATCACCTGTGTGGGTCACCTCCGGGACAGGGATCTAACTCATGCTGAAATGGCTTTAGCTTCTTAGTGCTGCACTTTAACCCTCTGTGTCACCAGGGAGGGCCCAGCTTCAATATTTTAACAAAGTCAGGACTAGATGATTTCCAGTGGTTCTCAACTTAAGTAGACAGGAAGACAACTGCAGATGGGATGATGTTTATTGATACTGCAGCAAATTGAGGGTATATATCAAATATTAACATTAAGGAGAGGCACTGTATTTTAAGGAGCATAAGAGTGAATTGACAGAAAGTAAAGGCAGTAAACACAGTCTAGATCAGTAATGAAAATTGAGCTTTTGATAATGATGTCTAATACAGTAAATACAGCAGTCTTGACTACATATGGCTACTAAACACTCAAAATGTGTCTAGGGTGACAGAGCTAATGTTTTATTTACTTGTATGTTTTTTTTTTAAGCAACATTGATTTATAATATAGGTATTAAGTATCCAGCCTTGCAAACCAACATTTATACATACTATATTGTGTTGATCACCCAAAGCCTTGAACTCCATCACCAGCTACTTGAACTCCTTTACCTGATTTGCCATACTCCCGCAGCCAGCACCGCCCCCTAGCTTTATCTAAATTAGCCAAATGTGGCCAGAGGCAATTACCTTGGACAGTATGACTTGAGGTGTTTTTCTTTTTTTTTTTTTTTTTTTAATATTTATCTATTGATGCATTACAGAACTGGGGTACAGGCCAGAGGTTCAGGAGCGGTGAGAGGATTCACCAGAGAGAGCAGGGAGCAGAACAGGCAGATTGACAAAAGTACACTGCTGAGGGTAGCAGCTGGTGAGACAGGAGAGGTCCACAGCACCGTGTGGGCCACCTCCCCAGCCTGGGAGCTGGGGCTAGCTTTGTAGTGCTGTGCTTTAACCCATTGTGCTACCAGGGAGGGCCCCCCCTTCTTAATTTCCAAGAAAGAACCACAGGCTGATGTGTTAGAATCAGTTCTTCCCTTCCTTGTTATTATTGTAGGATTGAGGAACAAAATGTGGCTGGACCCAAGTTAACTGATAAACCCCTATTTAATTGACCAGTTCTATTGGATGACCTTATCTTAGTCCCACCCAGTCTCATGTGATATTGGTTAAATACTCCCCAGCTAAAATCTTGTTCTGCCATATTTCTTGAACTTCGGTCCTTTAAGTTTCATTAATTTCTGTGTATGCTAGGTATTTCCCCTTTCCTGTTAAATAATGAAATTGACCTAACTCAAACCAGTGACGTCTCCGGATGTTTAACATCCATGAAGTTGTTCCCTGGTTGGGCACCATGTAGAGGAATATCAGACCAGCTGGGTTCTCTGGCTTTCTGGCTTGCCTTTTTTCTCTTGCTGTGTTCAGGGAACTGAGAAGTTCAGGAAGTTGTTATGTATTCCTGTGTTTTTAATCTCTAGCGATAACAGAGACTGTTGGTAAACTTAATTTACTAAGTTCATGATCAGAGAACGAACTGGTATTTATCTTTGTGATAGCGTGGGTTTCTTAGGGTCCTTGTATGTTCTGGGGTTTAACCAGACAATAAAATGCACCCACTTCTTTTTCGTCCTTTCATTATTTCCCTAAATGGTATAAAATTCTCTTCGACCAATGTATTTTGAGGAGAAGATTCTAAGATCAGAGTGGAAGTCACGCTGACTTGGATGTGGACGCTACAGAAGAGTCAGGCTGTGTATGTCACTTTATGTCGTATGACACCATGGGAAGTTTAATAAATTTGAACCTCTGCTGTTTGTTGTGTGTGCCTCAATGAATAAAAGGCCCAACTAGAGGCCTCGTGAAGTTTACTGACTTTTAAAAAGCGTTTCCAAATGGTGGACTTCTGTCATTTAGGCCAGGAGAAATCTGACATGTAAAGAACAGACCTACTTATTGCTGTTTCCTACCCAACAAGTATCTGTAGGACCCCACTATTGTCACAGTTAAAACTTGTCCTGGGCCCTCCCTGGTGGCGCAGCGGGTTAAAGCACAGCACTGAGAAGCTTAAGCCAGTTCCGCATGAGTTCAATTCCCGCCTGCCCCGGAGGTGACCACATGGCGTGGCAGACCTCTCCTGACCCGTCCGCTGCTCCCCTCAGCAGTGTACTTCGTCTGATCTGCCTGTTCTGCTCCCCACTCTGTTCCTGGTGAATCCTCTCACCCTCTGCATCTCTGGCCTGTACCCCAGTTCTGTATAAATTTAAAAAAAAAAAAAAAAAACTTGTCCTGTACATTTCCAAATTCCCTTTGAGGGGAGTAGAAGAAGTACCACACTTACTGAGAATCACTGGATTAACATGCAGTGCAATTTCTTAAGTTCACTCTAATTCTGCCTCTTAAAAATCAATAACTATTTTTTACTCCCTCTCAAGATCTTTTTATGTTTTGTTTTGATAAAGTAAGAGGTATTAATACCAAACTGACCCCCCAGCTTCAAGATGAAAGTGGGGAATCTTAGCCCAGGAGGCAACCTAAGCAATGCTCAGTTAGCCCAGAGATACAAAAAAATTTTTTTTAAAGATTTATTTATTTATGCTTACAGAACTGGGGTACAGGCCAGAGGTGCAGGGTGGTGAGAGGATTCACCAGAGACAGTGGAGAGCAGAACTGGCAGATCAATGAAAAGTACACTGCTGAGGGGAGCAGTGGGCAGATCAGGAGAGGTCTGCTACGCCATGTGTATCACCTCCGGGGCAGGCAGGAATCGAACTCATGCTGCAGTGGCTTTAGCTTCTTAATGCTGTGCTTTAACCCACTGCGCCACCAGGGAGGGCCCAGATACAAATGTTTTTAAGGCAAAAACAAAAAATGTACTGAGATCCTGACGACATTTTGAAACAGACTATAAAACATTAGGAAGGCGTTTGACCTTCCCACCCCCAAATTTCCATTTTTGCTGGTCACATGGATTTGTATTCTCCAACCCTTCTTTCTGGTATCCTTCAGATAGGAAGTCCAGATAAAGCAAGGGGATGTGGGCACACTTCACTGTATCTGGAATGCTTTTGGTTATAAGCAGTACCAGCTTAAGCATATATGGGATTTTTCTCACATAATAAAGTCTAGATGAGCAAGGCCTGATATTGCAGTGGGTTCTGTGATTTCCTTGGTCTTTTCTCTTAAGGTTGAAACACTCAGTCTTAGTCATCAGGAAGTCCCCTGCATGCCACTAACCCCTCTCTATCTCATTGGCCAGAACTGGCTCTCATGGTCACACCTAGTTGCATCTTGATGGAATTATAATTTACCTCATCTTGATGGAATTATAATTTACCTCATCTGGAGCTGGACACACTATTGAGCCTAAGAGGTTTGGGGTTCTTTTGGAAAAGGGAGAGTTGGGTTTTGTGTGGATAGACCACTATGATGGGTCACTCAGCACTTAACAAGAAGCAGCATTCAAAGGTGTGGAAGAATTGATTGTTAGGCATATTTATCCCACGCTACCATTCATAATGCCGTACTGGATGCTTTTATAGAAGAACATTGAACTATTTATTACCTTCCAAATTCTGATTTTGTAAATGTATTTCTTATGAGCCTACTGTATTCCTTCTTTTGCCCTGTTTACTTGTCTAAGTTTCTTAACCCAGGAAATCAACACTGTGGAAATGTTTTTTTCTCTCAAAATGTTGTCCTACCAACTGGTCAGTCTAGATATTTTATTTTACTCCTCTGTTGGTCTTTCTGCCAACTGACTGACTCAAATCCTTCTCCCATCCATCCTGCCTTACAGATGCATGCTATGTACAGCTAGTTGAAAGTCTCAAAATTTACTTCTGGTACTCTACTAACTTTCCCTTTTTCTCTTTCTCCTCCTCTTTTTCCTTTCCTCCTTTTGTTTTCCCTCCTGTCCTTTGCTGCTGCAGAGCGTCTCTACAGCCAACTTGAGCGAAACCGCCTGCTTTCTAATGAGCTGAAGCTAACGCTGCATGATCTATGTGACTGATGGGCAGGGCTCACTGATGCCCATTAAACCGAGCTTACTGCTCACACCACTGACCTGGACCCCAACAAAAAGCTGATTTTTTTTTTAAATGTCATTATTTTGCCCTAAGCAGATTGCTTTTTAATCAGGGCAATTAGTATATTATTGACTTCCTAATGGTGCTGTAAAGTTGGAATAGTTAATACATTTCTCTCCCTGATGCAAGGGGCCTGAGATTGTAATGAGAAAACTTGGGAGTTTTCTGTTTTCTACCTTTTTCTCTTTTTTTCTTTCCTTGCTTGTGCACTGACTGTAGTATATGCTCCCTTGCATGAGTGTTTTCTAACAATAAAAGGACTGACTTGACAAGATGTTGTAACTGCTTCATCTGCAGGCCCAGGGCCCTTCTGACTGGGTGGAAAAAGGGAAGAGAAAGAAGCGGGTGTGGGATATGACTAGGTCTGTTGCCATTACCCTCTTGCCTGAGTTGAAGATTTGAGTGTTTTCCCCACCTCTGCAGTAGTCAGAGTGGTTTGCTTGCTGGCAGATTAGATTCTCCTTGATGGTCAGCCACTGGTTTTATTCCTGACATTTTCCCTCTTGCTGCTTTTTTCTTGGTTTTATATGTTTCGTTACAACTGATTGTGTCTAGGCTCCATAGGGAAAATAGCCCTGCAACAATCTCAACTGAAGGTTATATTTGCAATTTTCTCTTTGTTGTCATATTCTTGGCTCTTGGCTTTGTTTTCTTCAGAGATTCTTTGACTTAGCAATGGGGGGGGGGTTCTTTTACTTATCTCACCAGTTATTCTGCTCCCTTCTAATTTGGGGGAGAATGTCTATGGTTCCTGGGGATCCTCTGTTACTCTTTTCCAAATTGAGAAAGTTGAAAGCTTTGATTGGGTGTGGGATGGAGAGGAAATGACTGCTAAAAGTCTCCAGCTTCCTCCTCCAGAATTACCTGCAACTTTGTAGGCAAGCCAGAGGCGCCTGCGAAACTGAATGATGCAATAGCTCACTTCTGTGGCTGACAAGGCAGCTGCTTTATTAGTCTGCAGCTTCCTTGCAACGGGAGCAGATTGGGTAGACCTTGACATTCATTTCTAGTTTTTGTAACTTCTCTCCTTTACCCCCATTAGATAAACTGAAATGCACCAAAGAGGAGCACCTCTGTACACAAAGGATGCTGGACCAGACTCTGCTCGACCTGAATGAGATGTAGAGCACCCCGCTCCAGCCCTGCCGCTGCTCCTCCCTCTGACCCCGACTCTGCCTGAGGCCAGCCTGCCCGAAGCTGACCTTTCAAACCGAGGGCTGATTTTTAACTGGAAGGCTGCTTTCTCTTTTTGCCGCCCCTACAACTCCCACCCCTGTATTTTTCCACCAAACTGTCTCTGCCTCTCTCCAGAGATTCCAGTTGGTTTAGAGGCTAAGCACCTTTGGGAACAACATTTAAGGGAATGTGAGCACAATGCGAAAGTGTCTTTAAAAAGCATGTTGTGATGTACACATTTTGTAATTAACTTTTTTTGTTATTGATGTAGCAACCATTTATTAGACATTCCAAATAATTGTCTAATCTTTATCTCACTTTTTGGAAGATAACTTTTCAGCTTATGCATATTGTCCTCTACATAGAAGAGGGAAAGAGGTATGGGCCTTACAGAGAGCCAAAAAGAGCCCAGAGAAAGACTCCACTATGGGAAACCCTGTTCTGTACAGAGTACTGGCCAAGCCAAATGGTGATTCCAGGAGGAGTTAGTCAAAAAGAAAAAGCTAGTGCTGTCAGGTTTTTAGCTTTAAGGTATCTTTGGCCAATTTCATTTTTGTTCTTGTGGGGATTTTTGGGGTTTTTTTTGATTTTGGGTTTTTTTTTTCTTCTTCTTTACAAGTGACCAAATGATTTAAAATGGTGAAACCTCTGAGACCAAATTCTTGTCCCTTCTTTCTACCCCTTCCTAGTTGCTCACAGAATGGATCATGTGCCCCTATGTTAAAGTGACCAATTATGCTTCCTTGACTCCAAGACAGAAAAGAAAATTATGTTTTTGCCATGATTTAGCCATATGAAACTCATCTCATCACCCTTTTTTGGGTCTGAAGCTGCTGTCTTTTAAAAGTGCCATCTCATTGTGCTTCATATATTAGTGTTGCAGACACCTTGAATAGCTTACGTACAAAACTTTTTGTATTATTTTGAAACTTTGTTTTTTTTGGTGTTGGGGTACACTGGCCACCCCATCTGGATTTTGAGAGCTCTCTTTAGTCAGTGGGCTGGCTTTGTGCGGATTTTAAAATTTCTTTCCTCACCTAGTACCCCCTCTTAGTGAGGTTTCTGTGAGGTCTGTTTGGTGTGCATCCTACAGCTTGCTGGCTTAAACTGTACTCTCCTTTGGTGTGGCCTCTTGGGGAGCCGGTTGGGAGAAAGAGAAACCAATTGTGTAACTGTTTTGATACTGAAAATTGACATGTCTTTTTGAAATAAAGAACCAGTCCCTCCAACCCTCAGACCTACTTGAGTTCATTTACCAATCCAGGTATGATTTCTCCAGGCACTATAAGGGGCTAAAAAACAGAACTTTGTGGTGGGAGCAACAGGATTTACGTAGAACACATGCTTTGGAAGCTCATCAAAACTGGGTTCAAAATCAGCTCTGAAATTCCTATCTGTATGTCTTGATCGGTCATTTAGTTTCATTGCCTATAACATAAAGCTAGTATTTATTATCAAAGTGTATGTGAAGATTAGAAATAAAACTTACGGCCTAGGCCTTTTATAGGTAATATAGCATCTTCAGTATGAACTGTATCATTTTCCTCTACAGCTGTGTCAATTTTTTCTTATAAAACATGGATTTTTTTTTTTAAAGATTTATTTATTTATACATACAGAACTGGGGTACAGGCCAGAGGAGCAGGGGTGGTGAGAGGCTTCACCAGAGACAAAGTGGGAAGCAGAACAGGCAGATCAATGAAGTACACTGCTGAGGGGAGCAGCGGGCGGGTCAGGAGAGGTCTGCCACACCATGTGGTCACTTCCGGGGCAGGCGGGAATCGAACTCATGCGGAAGCGGCTTTAGATTCTCAGTGCAGTGCTTTAACCCGCTGCGCCACCAGGGAGGGCCTAAAACATGGATTTTTAAAGAAGATTTATTTGTTTATGCATAAAGAGCTGGGGTACAAGCCAGAGGTGTAGGGATCTTGAGAGGCTTCACCAGAGACAGAGTGGGGAGCAGAACAGGTGGATTGATGAAGTACACTGCTGAGGGGAGCAGCGGGTGGGTTAGGAGAGGTCTGCGCCCCAGTGCCTGGCATTTTCTGCACTCCGGCCTTGGGAATGTATGTGAACCTACCTTCCTAATAAAAATGGCACAACTCTTGATAAATTACAGCTGTATACATTAGACTGAAAATGTTTTTCATTTATAGACAGGCCAATGCTGGCTGGAAATTATTTTTTTCTCTTTTGGCTAGGAATCAAAAAAGGTAGGCAACAGGAGAAACTAGACCAAAGAAATGTGTTTTCACACTTTCCTTCTTGTCCCTCAATAGTAAAAAGGTATATCATCCAAAGTTTAATATAAAGTGGCCCTTTTCAGTGGGTAACTGGCTCTGGGCCTTTCATTTCTAGAATGGTGGCTTGCTGGCGCACTTCCTTGGAAGAGTTCCCATAATTCCCTGTCAGAAGGCAGCCCACGTGTTGACGTCAGGCGTGCGGATAGGCGCTGTTGGAGGCTAGGGCGCTACTGAAAGCCCGTGGTCGCCATGACTGGCCTCCGGGCACCAGGACCCCGGGGCTTCGTGCTGGTTTTCTGCCCGCCTCTCCACAGCCTCCTGTTTCTGCTCCTCATTTTGCTCGGGACCTTGGCCAACAAACTTAATGTGCCACAGGTGTTGCTACCCTTCAGCCGTGAGCCCGGCCAGGTGCCCTTTCTCCTAGAGGCGCAGCGGGGCTGCTACACATGGTGAGGGGTGTTGGGGTCACGAGGATGTGCATCCCTCACTGCGCAGTTAAGATGGAAGGCGTTCACTCAGTGCTGTGTGGTATCTGGGGCGCAAAGGGGTTTTTCCTTGGGCATTGAGGGCCGTGCCTGGGAATGAAGTGTCAGACCTTCCCCATATGGCCCGCCTTCATGGGGGATAGCATCAGGTTATATGAGGGGTTTTATACGCTCAACTCTCAGGATGGGATACTAACCGTTTCATCGCGGTGGGGGAGGGAGATTTAGTCATTGAGAATGTCGTGCGCAGGGAAGAGGTGTGTGGGAGACCTCGGGTATTGATGGCCTCAGATGAAGGGCTTCAGCTGTACACAGCTAGAGGGGGCGGGCGTTCTCAAGGCCTGAGGACATTTTGTTAGGAGCAGAAAGGCCTGGAATCCCCACGAAGGTGAGACTTTAAAGTGGAGAGATCCCCCAACGCAACTAATGTGTACTAAGCTAAGCACTTTGTGTGTATTAACTCATTCAGCTTTTATAGTCTGGTGAAGTAAGTGCTATATTACTCTCATTTTACAGATGAGGGAACTGACAGACTCAGAGACTATGAAGTGTAAAGTTCTGTAAGAAGATTCCTTTTGGGTGGAGGTGTGGTCTGCCTGTGATATATGTTTCCCCGTAATATAAGACACCCCCTTGAAGTGTGAGGTTAAGGAGTACTCAACTCTGAGGGAGTGACTTTCTAACTACTGTCAAAAATATTTTCGTCTGGTGCGAGAGACTAACATAGATTGTATAGTTACCTAAGGTATGAGAGCACCCAAGCGAAGTAGGCTTCAGGTATCAGAGGGTTCATCCTAAATGCAACAGATTTCCCTTTACCATTGTCTCAGATGCACTAAGGATTGTTCAGAGTGTAACAAGTTCATCTCCTGTTTGTGAACAACTCCTAAAATGATCCGGTATGTTTCCTGACTGAGAAGATTATGCAAGGTTTCTTTGTAACATAAAAGCCATTTCTTCTACCCATCAAAATTCCAAAAATCATTTCGAATTTTAAAAGTTAATGATTTTTTTTCTTTTTGGATATATTTGAGTTGGACATATTTTAGACAATTTTTCCATCTTAGATAGCAGCAGCCCAGTTTCTAGGCTCGAAGAATCTTCCTCAGACTGAGAAAATCAGGACTCCACTTGAAAATGTATCAATCCTATTTTTACATACTGCTGAGAGGAATGTACACTTTTAAATACTGAGGAATGTAAGATTTCTGTAACTGCACAAAGGATCACTGAGAAAAGGTTTTTGCATAAGTCTTTTGTTCCCCTAAGCAGTTTCTATTTTCAAGTGTCATTTAAATATCGTGGTGGTACTAACATGGAAAAACTGTAAGAATCTATAGTCCACCACAAGTTTTAACCCATGTTCTTATTTCATGCTCTTAAGTATTTTATTCTGGCAGGCATACCACCCATCATGATGCAGTAACTGTTGAGCCTTTATATGAAAACGGCACCTTATGTTCCCAAAAAGCTGTACTTACTGCTAAATCTACCCAGCCGATACGCCTCAGCAGTATTATTCTTGCTCGAGAAATAGGTATGTTGAAAGAAAACACACTGTGTTCCTCTAAAGTAGAATAATATGATATCTTGTATGGATGGTTAATACAAACAGTGTTGGCTTCAAATAATAAGCAGAGATTCCTATCATGTAAACTCTAATTGTCATATCCTATTCTGTGACTTAAAGTTTCTGTATAGCTGTATCGGTAGATATATCTCCATACAGCATGTGGCATGTTTCATAATACAGGAGTGAAAACTTTAGTTGTTTGAAATAAATCAGTGAACAAAGGAAGGGACCATTCATTTATTGGCACTAGCTTAAGTGTAAAGGTCTGAGGTTGGTCTTAAGTGAGGCAAAAAGCAATATAAAGACTAGTACTTCTCAAAATGTGTTCTGTGAACCTCTAACATCAGCATCACCAGGAAGCTTATTAGAAAATGTAAATTCTCAGCCACTCCTTTACAGCTTCTGTATCAAAATGTCTGGGGTGGGCCCAGGGATCTTTGTTTTAAAAAGATCTTGTGTGATTCTCATTCATACTGAAGTTTGAGTAGCTTTAACTAGTCTATTTTAAAACAAAGCAGCTCAAGAATTGCTCTTTGTATCCAAAATCAGACTAAGGTGCTTCATATTGTGTGTTTCTGATAGGCCAGAGATAGTTGGGTGGCTTTTCAATATTTTAATAAATTATCTATCTGTAATGTTATTAAAGAGAAGTCCAAAATGTTTGATAGACCGTATACCACATACATCTATTGTTTAGCTATTTTTTATATACCACTATTATTTTATGTACCCCTAAGAAAGAAAAACATTACCAATTAAGTTGTTTTATTCACTTAGAAAACTTAACTTTTTACTACGTATCTACTGAAAGAACTTTGACTTAGATGGTTGGTTATTTTTATTATATAGTCTCTTGCATAATAAAGATGAAAATATAAATTTAAAAAGCTGGTGAAAATATTCCTGAATTGACTTTAGGAGTCACTTTTTGTCAGGAAATCACCAATGTCTGTATTTATGCTGCATCATCTTCCTCTGTGCCATTGCGTTATTAGTGATGCGGTGTTTTTTAAATGTACCACATAAAAACAAAAGATCTAAAAGCTGTATGAATTAGGTTTGCAGGTTGGCCTTGCAGTTATATAGAACTGATCTAAAAAAATATAGAGAGAGAGATAGAGCTGATCTGTTTTTGTGTGTCTAGGCTTGGAAAGATTCCTAACACTGAGTTACCAACTTTCCCACTCTTTCCTTAAGCATTTGGCTTCTAGGAGAAAAGTGTTCCATTGTAGTTCACCAGGTCTTTCCCCCAACTATGAATACCCATTCTACAAATTTTCATACTGGCCCTTTTAATATTCTCATATATACAGCCAATGACAACTATGTCATAACTTGCCTAACTAACAGCAATTATAATCTATCATCAGTTATAAAATGAAATACCAATTTCAGCAATGTAAAATGTCAGAGAATGAGTATCTGAGAATCAATGAAATATAGTAGGAGATTTTCAAAAGGGAGAATCTTTTTTTTTTAAGTAAGCCTCTTTGGGGCCCTTCCTGGTGGCACAACAGGTTAAAGAGCAGCACTATGAAGCTATCCACAGCCGCTGCCGCATGAGTTTGATCCTGGTCAGGGAGCTGACCCACATGGCATGGCAGACCTCTCTTGACCTGCCCGCTGCTCCCCTCAGCAGTGTATTTCAATAATCTGCCTGTTCTACTCCCCACTCTCTCTGGTGAATCCTCTCCCCACCCCCACCCCTGGCCCCTGCCCTCTCGCCTGTACCCCAGTTCTTGTATGCATAAATAAATAAATCTTTAAAAAAATAAAAATAAAGTGGTACTCTTTAAGGGCCATATCATGCAGGGTAGTTATAATGGACAGAGAAGACTAGCAATAGAAGTGACACATTGCTTTAGTCACATAGGTTATTTTTAATATACTTAAAATTCATTCTGATATCAAAAAATCATTCTCACAAGTATGAGGAAAAAATGTTAAAACTGGCTTGCAGCTTAATTTCATCTGACTTGCAAATATTTCAAAATTAAGAATATTTAAAATTTCCCAGTTTTGCTATCGATACAGTTCTGTATACAGATGATACACATTCCCAGTGATAAATGCCTGTCTGGATGTCCTACCAGGTGATGCTTATCTGGGTGGAAACAGGCACTCTGAAAATTCAGAAGGAGGA